ATACTGTCTATCGGTATGGACGATCAAATTGACCAAAACAAAGTTAAAAAATGATATTAAAATACAAAACTAAATTAATTTGATTGTCTACAAAGATGCTACGGCTATTTAACTTTCCGAATCGAGCCGAACTACGCGGGTCGCCATTATGTTTTGCCCGGAAGTTCTCGCGCTACTCCTCTCCTCTCTCTCTCTTTCTCTCTCTCCACTGCCCACAGACAAAATTGCACGCTTTTAGGCTAACACTAGCAGTAGTAATGGATCTAGAACGTTTGTTCACAGCACAGAATTCTATAATTCTGTTATCACAGTGTAGAATTATATGGTTCAGGGTGAACGCTTCACTAGTTGGCCTAGGCTATAACGGTGAACGCCCACCGGGTGAGAATAGCCAAAAGACTCGCCTGCGCTATTCTCACCTGGGGTGAGAATAGAGGTGGCCTCCAAAATCCTGATGGGAAACTAAAAGTGAAAGCTACTGTTATGTTATGGCCACCTCTATTCTCACCCCGGGTGGGAATTGCGCGGGCGAGTCTTTTGGTTATTCTCACCCGGGGTGCGTTCACCGTTATAGCCTAGATCTAGGCAACCAGTGTTGCGTTCACCCTGAACCACAGAATTCTACACTGTGATAACAGAATTGTAGAATTCTGAGCCGTGAACAAACGTTCCATCACTATTAGCCTAAAAGCGTGCAATTTTGTCTGTGGGCAGTGGAAGAAAGAGAGAAAGAGAGAGAGAGGAGTAGCGTGAGAACTTCCGGGCAAAACAAAATGGCGACCCGCGCAGTTCGGCTCGATTCGAAAAGTTAAATAGCCCCATAGCATCTTTGTAGACGACCAAATTAATGTACTTTTTTGTATTTCAACATCATTTTTTAACTTTGTTTTGGTCAATTTGATCGTCCAGACCGATAGACAGTATTCAGACAGAGAGAGAGAGAGAGAAGAGGGGAGGACTAGATCTTGCAAGAACTTCAGCGCGAAACAAAATGGCGACCCGCATAGTTTGGCTCAATTCGAAAAGTGAAATAGCCATATATATATATATATTAATATATAGCACCTTTGTAGACGATCAAATTAGCTTACTTTTGTGCTATTATGTAATTTTTTCTTTGCTTTTATCAATTTGATCATCCACACCGAAAGACAGTATTCCGATATTAGGAAAAGCAGGTCTTGTTTCACACTAGATGAGAATAGCCAACGGTGGAAAGTCTCACCCGGGGTGAGAGGTTGATCGTATTTTTATTCTCATCCCGGGTGAGGATAGCCACTTCCTTATGTTATATCATCTGTTCATGACAAAATTTCGGTAGTTTACGCATTTTTAGGCCCAGTTCAAAGTTTTGAAGGTCTGAGTCGGGGATTAGTAGACTTGAATCAAGGCGCAGCCATTGTTGATCACGCAGACTTTATCTACTTCCGTTGTTTAGGAGCGCAGAGTTGCCAGGTTTTCTTCGGTTTCTAACCAAATTGTCACCGCGATTAATTCTAGCAAAATACATTGTATTAATAGGGAGGAGGAATTCCGCAACGAGCAACCAATATTCATATGAAAATGATAAAAATAGAGAGTTGTTAGGGTTAGGTTTAGGGATAGGGGTAGAGGTATGTGTAGGGTCTGGGGTAGGGGTTGGGACAGGGGCATGGGTAGGGGTTGGGATAGAGGTATGGCTAGGGGTAGGGGTAGGCCTAGGACTAGGGGGATAGGTCTTTCCTTGTGTTTGATGAAGGTTAGGGGTTGGGATGGGGTTAGGGTTAGGTCTTTTCTTTATTGTGTTTTTTTTTGGGGGGGGGTTAGGGTTTGGTGTAGGGGTCAGGGTAGGTCTCCTCTTTATTGTGTTTGTTTAGGGTTAGGGGTAGGTCGTTGGAGTTAGTTGGGGTCGGGGTGGAGGTAGGGTTAAGGGCAGGGTTAGGAGTAGGGGTAATAGTAGGTCTTTTTTTTGTTTTGTTTGTTGAGGGTTAGAGGTGGGGGTGGGATGGAGTAGGGTTAGGCCTCTTCTTAATAATTGAGGTTGTGAAGGGTTGGGGTTTGGTGTAGGGGTAGGGTTTGCGGTAGAATTAGGGTTAGGATGGTAGGAGTGGGGTAGGGGTAGGTCTCTCCTTTATTTTGTTGTAGAGGATTATTAGGGTAAGGGGTAGGGTTGGGGTAAGGTTAGGGGTAGGAACTAAGGGTGGAGGTAGGCTTGTATTTGTTTAGGGGTAGGGGTGTGGGTAGGTCTTTCTGTATTGTGTTTGTTGAGGGTTAGGTTTTTAGGGTTTGGGTTGGGATAAAGGTGGGGGTAGGGTTAGGGGTTGGGTCAGGGTACGGGTTAGGACTCTTCTCTATTGTGTTTATTGAGGTGGTCGCTCGTTGCAGAGGGTAGGTTTTCTTTTCTCATAGGGTAATTGGTGAGGTGGGGGGGGGGGGGGTCCCCCTGATCAGGAGCAGCACCTCTTATTTATAAAGGGCGGGGGAGGGGTCTTGCCTCCTTGATTAATGTAAGTTTTAGGGTTAGGTTTTTTCATTTCCGTTTCTTCGTCTGTTCAAAACACGTGAGAAATGAAATCGTTATTTGTATAATTTATCGCTTCATCCCTTACCGCGACCCGGGCGTTCGAAAAGAACGAAATACAAGTAGACCGGTACGGAGAAAGCCGAGCTTGTCCACGATGGCAACTCAAACCGGAAGTCATTTTTGTAATATGCAAATGGGGTAGAGTCGACTCAGAAATTTACTTTTTTTTTCTTTCCTTTTTTTTTTTTTGAAGCCGATCGCATCAGCTTTCCTAATTTTGCGAAGGAACCTCGTCAAAACCCTTTTATGTAAATAATAATTGCGTTTCAGGAATTTTGAAAAGTGATACACTCCCACTTAACTCAAGTAGGTCTATAAGAACTTTTTTTTACTCATTGGTAACACCAGCTGTTTGGCATAGTGGTTATGCTGCTGGACTACTAATCATGTTTGCTTCCCTCACTCACAGGTTCGAATCACGGTCACGCCACTGATTTTTCTAATCATGTCATATTGTGTATGTTTTCAGACGTTAACATGTCACTGATAATACCCATTCCAGGTGAAGAGACAAAGAAGGGCAAGAGGAATACAAAGTAACACAAATTCAGTTTACTTAAACTTTCTTTATTGCCCAACCAAATACTAAACCCTGTCTTTTACATATCCCACTCAAAAGTCCCTTCTTTATTGCGTAGGCTGGGGTGGTCGCTCGTTACGGAAGTCCTTCCACCACAAGTATGCCAAGGTAACAAGGTTGCAATCCCACCCAACATAGATTATATGACATCATAGATCTTTGATTAACTGGTGGGACCGAGTTTACACTTTTGGAGTGACAGACCCGGTAACTGGGAACGAAGTCACAAAGTATACAGACCCGGTAGGGGAACTCTTTTGTGATTTCGGAAAAAGTTTCAGCGCCCTCTTTGCTTCCGGAAATGGTCATCACAAAACACTAAGGTGACGGTATGCCGTGGGGGATGGGGGGTTCTAGATCTAAATTGAAGATTGCGGATGTCTTTTCGATGAAGGATCGCTTTTCCTCTGTTTTTGGAGTTGGAGGAATC